CTCGTATCGGCCGTTTTCCACCAGTCGTCGTTGGCCCGCTTCAGTAGTTGGTGGAGAATAGATTTGGCAGCGCTCCAAAAGCAGCCGCGCAAACACGCCCCATCATCCGCAGCGAAACCAGACAGTAATTAGCACCTAGAGATTCTCATCTGAGCAGACCGTTACTTTATATCAATTGGTCCTATTGTCTAAAGGATGGGATATGATGCGAACATGATCATCACGGAAAATATTTAAGTGACAGGATTTTTGAGTGGTGTTGAAAAAGCTAGGTGCAGAAGATGCCATTATTTATGCGCATTTTCATGATGCGGTCAGGAGATCCGAGTTGCGGCGGGGTGGCGAAAAGAGCCTTGCAAGTGACATAGTTTTTCACCATCTGCATTATTGGGCAACGATGAATTATCAAACGTCGCTCGCATAAGACCTAGTTCCTGCGCTCCACCATGACTCGGACCTCCTGACCCACACCCGCATTTGGGAAAACAAGTTGGGAAAATTCTTCCTTGCCAGATCGAGTCAAAAGCGTGAAAATTTCCTCTTTGAAGCTGATACGTACAAAATTTCAGGCAGATGATTGTCACGTTACTGCGAAAATTCCGAGTCGCCGACAATCCTCGCAAATTCGCTTTGTACGAGTGTGCCCACGAGAACGACGAGGAAACGTGCACCTTGCTGAGTGAGTTCACTTCTTGCAATATTGAATTGTTTTTTTGCCTCCGCGTTCACAAGGACTTCACTAAAATCGTTTCAATCCCATATTTCCGCCCTTTGCAACGTTCTGGGAAATGGAACTCAACATTACCGCGCTTCACGCCAATGTCATAAGGCGCCATTTCTCAGAACACTCTAACAAACGAGTGGGCACAGCTTTGAAAAGTGGACTGAAGAAGTAGGAGATGTGAAATTGGGTTGGGGAAACGATTCTCTCGTGAGCTTGAAGTGTCGAGCACTTTGCACTACGTCTAGTTTCACCAGCAGTGCTGAGGCGACGAGAGGCAGGTGCTGAGAAAGCGAGTTTACGGGGAAAGAATGGAAAGGAGGGGAGGAAAAGAAGAGATAGACGGTAATACTCTGAGAGTCATGGAGGGAGGAA